ACACTCATCAGATGTGAAAGCATGGTCTGCTGCTGATGCAGAATGTTTTAAAAGGTTTGAAATGGGTGTAGCCCAAGGGTCATAGTCTGCCTCAGCAGCAGACCATGCTTTCCCACCTGATGACGGACGCTTGTGTTGCGCCCGAAACGTCGTGATTTATTTTATACCTACGTGACTTTACCGAAAGAACCAAAGAATTTTGATTATTACTACTACACTTGGTAACTCAGGGAAAAGGGTCACTGAGACTAAACTCTCTTTCAGGAGGCTCCTGACAAGGTTTTTTTGCAGTAGAGGGCGACGTTGCTCTCTTTAATCGAGTAACATTTTCGTGTCTTTTCTTTAGCACTGGAATGTTTGGACAACAACCAATGGCATTGTATTTTTGTCGACGATCTTTTTCTTAGCTACGGGAGAAAAACGGAGAACCCAGAGAAAATCCATGCATAACAAAGGGGAGAACACACACTCACACTCCACACAGACAGGCACCCAAGTTGAGAATCAAACCCAGGTATTTCCTGCGGTGGTGCAAGTTGTTACCACTCCACCACCCTGACGCCCGTGTTTAGTGCAATCTGTGGGTACATTTATATTTACAAAACACGCACAGCATTGTTTATATCATGCAAATTCTACATTAATAGATTATTTGAACGAGATTAAACAACAAATCCCCTATACACATGCTGAAATCTGGAAACTCAACAAAGTGGGGATTCAAATTCTGTGTACCAAAGGAATAAATCAGAAAGGGTACTTTACGCATTACGTAAGCATTGGCAGTACCGTTAAATAAATAAAAACGTTACGTCAATTCCAAGCCCGCATACTTCCTCACTGATGCATCACAGTGGCACATGAATCATGAACTAGGAAGGGGGAAAAAAAATCTCTCGCCTTTCACAAGCGAGGGCACGCGAAAAAAAAACTCCCCGTGCCGTGCGGTGGCCAATCCACCCACCCACTCACTCACCCACTCACTCACTCACCCACTCACCCACCCACTCACCAACTCACTCACCCACTCACCCACCCACTCACTCACCCACCCACCCACTCACCCACTCACCCACCCACTCACTCACCCACTCACTCACTCACCCACCCACTCACCCACTCACTCACTCACCCACCCACTCACCCACCCACTCACCCACTCACTCACCCACTCACCCACTCACTCACCCACTCACTCACCCACTCACCCACCCACTCACCCACTCACCCACTCACCCACTCACTCACCCACCCACCCACTCACCCACTCACTCACCCACTCACCAACTCACTCACCCACTCACTCACCCACTCACTCACCCACTCACCCACTCACTCACCCACTCACCCACTCACCCACCCACTCACCCACCCACCCACTCACCCACTCACCCACCCACCCACTCACCCACTCACTCACCCACTCACCCACTCACCCACTCACTCACCAACTCACTCACCCACTCACCCACCCACTCACCCACCCACCCACTCACCCACTCACTCACCCACTCACCCACCCACTCACCCACTCACTCACCCACTCACCCACCCACTCACCCACCCACTCACCGACTCACTCACCCACTCACTCACCCACTCACTCACCCACTCACCCACTCACTCACCAACTCACTCACCCACTCACTCACTCACTCACCCACTCACCCACCCACCCACTCACCCACTCACTCACCCACCCACTCACCCACTCACTCACCAACTCACTCACCCACTCACTCACTCACTCACCCACCCACCCACTCACCCACTCACCCACCCACCCACTCACCCACTCACTCACCCACTCACCCACCCACTTACCCACCCACTCACCCACTCACTCACCCACCCACTCACCCACTCACCCACCCACCCACTCATCCACCCACTCACCCACCCATCCACCCACTCACTCACCCACCCACTCACTCAGCCACCCACTCACCCACCCACTCATCCACCCACTCACCCACTCATCCACCCACCCACTCACCCACTCATCCAACAACAACAACCGCCATTCGCCACTAAGTGGCGGTGACGTCACCACGACGATTGTGCCAGGCCATGTGCACCTTGAGGCCACGTGAAGTGTCGAACGCCCGCTGTCAGGAGGTCACGGGGCAGACCCAGGTGCCACGAGTCGACTGACTGAGATGACTGGCTGATGCACCACCTGTGCCCCCTACTGTGCCAACCTGCTGTGCTTCAGCCAGCCGGCGCTCCGCTTGTTGTTGTGAGCATCGCTCCTCCGCCCTCCGTTGTTGTTGGAGGGCGACTGCCTCCAACTGCCCAGTAGCGTCCTTCACGAGCCTCCTCCACAGAGGCCGATCTTGACACCGCTGGTACCGGTCATCGGCAAGTCCACTCAGCTCCACGTCCTCGTGTACCACATCACTCCATCTCTTCTCTAGCCCGTGCCGCGCCCGTTTAGTCCCCTCGATCCGGCCGAACAAAAGCTGTTTCGGCATGCGGTGGCTGGGCATGCGGGCTACATGACCCAGCCATCGCAGCCTTGCCCGCCGGAGGAGCTCACCGATGGGACCGTGCCCATATCTTTTAAAGATGTGAGCTCCTCACACAATCCAGTCTGGTTAAACCCAGGATGGATCGTTGGCAGGCCAGCCTAAATGTTTCTAACCGGCGAAGATTTTCCATTAGGGGGGTCCACGTTTCGCAAGCGTAGAGAAGGGAGGAAATTACCGTGGCCGAGAAGACCTGAAGCTTAGTGCGGAGCGACAGACTAGGTAGCTTCCACACAGCGTTACGCAACCGATGAAAAGATAATGCCGCTCGACTGATTCGGAGTGAGACCTCTGCTGTTAAACTGGAGCCGGTCATAAGCACACTTCCCAGGTATGGGAAACTCTCCACTTTCTCCACAACTGCCCCATCACCGATTGGGGGTTGTGGGGGTGGAGTGTCCGATGGTACAAATACCCAGGTAGGTGCTTCGTTTTGGTGGGGCTGATGGTAAGGCCCCATCTCTTAGTAGCACGCTCCAGTCTCAGCAGCAGCGTCTCCAACTCCTCCTCTGAATGAGCAGCTATTACCAAATCATCAGCATACATAACGTGGTTGAGCAATAGGGAGCCATCCCTTGACCGCACCCGGGCATCGATCAGCCTCCCATTATATCTGTACCATATGGAAATTCCCCCAGTACAGCTATTGAAGGCTTCACGAACTACGTGGTCAAAATAGATGTTAAATAATGTGGGAGCCAGAGGACATCCCTGTCGCACCCCAAGGTGTACAGGGAATGACTCTGACTTCCGGCCACGTAGTTTTAACCGGGCCCGCTCACCATCATGAAGGTCCTTAATGATCGTGAGCAGAGGGTCAGGTACTCCAAAAGCACAAAGAACAACCCAGAGCCCAGGCCTACTGATGGTATCATAGGCCTTGACCAGGTCAATAAAGCAGAGATGTAGGTCTTGCTGGAATTCCCTATACCTCTGCTGTAGCAGACGGACAGAAAATATGGCATCTGTGCAGGACCGCCCTTTCCTGAAACCGCATTGGGGCTCCGCAAGCCTCTCCTCAGCGTGCCTGGCAAGGCGATGTTGAATAATCCTTGCCAGGACCTTTCCCGGCACACTGAGGAGTGAGATGCCCCTGTAGTTGTTACAGTCTGTGCGGTCCCCCTTCTTAAAGAGGGGGACCACCAGGGCATCCTTCCAGCCCTGCGGAATCCGTCCAGTGGTCCAGACTGTTGTTATGATGTCATATAGGGCAGTCTGTGCACAAACGCCACCCTCCCTCAGCATTTCGCTTGGGAGATAATCTCTGCCCGCTGCCTTTCCTGGTCTCAGACTCCGGATCGCCTTCAGTACTTCCTCAACAGATGGCACCTCATCCAGCCACCCACTCACCCACACGCCTCTCCATCGGTCGCGTATGCGTAGCACGGCGGCAGACGGCCGTCAGCCCTCACCGCCACGGGCCCTCTCACCTCCCTGCGAGTGGCGTATGCCCGCATTGGTTCTGGCGTGCCGCGAAGATCAAGCGTGTTGAATCAATGAAACAGGGTCGAGAAGCACTGTCCAGGTTCCCACCCGAAGAGCAGACTGGACATTCACCAGTGCTCTGTGGTGAAGCACGGCTGTCCCATGTCGCCAGTAATGGATTACGTTCACTTCTCCCTATAAAGAACACTGTTTTTCCGTGTCCCCTTTCTGACGAATATTTTTATGAATCGAGTGAAAACACTCACGTAATAATACAGTATTTTTGTTACATACTGACAATCGCTGAGGAATCACCGACGAGCTGGAAGGCATCCTGGCGGTGAGCGGCACCAACAATTGCCCAAGCTCTGCCGTCCTTTATAAATTAAGATGTTTTCAGCCAATTAATGGGCGTTCATACATCTGCGGGGAAAACTGAGCAACCTAAGAACACCCACGCATGCAAGGGGGCAACACCATCTTATACATAGGGGCATGTGATGTTCGCCCTGTACTTTGCTGTACCGCCATCTCCTGGCAAGCCATGGTATGGCGCATCAACGCCCACGGCAAAGCAGTTTGGCAACATGCGATCCCACAAACTCTCACCTACACATGTATCACTACCGCCTGACAAAAAAATTATCTCAGTTATTTTATAATACTTTAATTTCTCCAATTATTAACGTTTTGAAATTATTCACAGACTGGCAATCGATGACATATTGTTCTTCTTTGCTGAAAAAAACCACGCCATCATCTTGCCTTACCAGTAGTACGACATCAGACGCCGAGTTTGTTTCTATTGTGATGGGGTTTTCTCAATTAGCTTTGAATTAGCCCAGCTAATTGACCCCGTAGTGTGAAAGTGGTAACTCCACGTACATGGTTTGCCAGAGGCAGACTTCACTGCAGTGAGCATTGGTGATTATACTGGACTGATGGGTCATAATAATGACTAAATAGGCCTCGAGTTATCTATCTCTGTATTAGTGCTACCTGACAGTTGGTCAGATTTGCTCAAATGTATTTTGACAGTGACCAAAGGTAAGATAACCACAATGCACTCCTTAAGGAACCGCTGATGTTTATTTGCAAGTCAAACATGATTTTCCAACATGCATTGTTATGCTAGAGTTTTCTTATCAATTACAGATTTTAAAACTTTGTGTTGGTGATATTAAAGGAATTACCAACACTGGATCAGGACCACAAATACGAATATCATGCCATGATCGTTTGAGCAGGAAGACCGTTTTATCAGTGACAAAAATAATTATAAATTAATAATAGTATAAAACAATTAATTATACCCTTGCCTCATATGCAAAAGAGATTCTGAATCTAAATGCTGTCACCCAGTCACACACAGGATTAAATGTGCCATTTAAAGTGTAAATAATTCCCCACAATGAAATTACAGCATTACACCTATCTGTAGCAGTATGTTTACATGTCGATGCAGAAAACTGCGAACCGGACTTTGTCATCCCTATAATTACACGTCATTTTCTTAATACACATTCTTTCTGAGAGGTGCGTAAGTGATAAGGACGTAATATATATAAAAAAAACAAGTAGAAACATAGTTCGCACTGTTTAATGGAAGTGTCTGGGTGGCTTTGTGCTAACGCTATGCCCCGAAACAGAGACATGAGATTGGTACAAATTCCATGCATGGTTATTTTTTCTCAATTATTGTTATGGCTAAACAGATGGCACATTATGTTCAGTGTATTTGGTAATGTTGTTCAGTGTAGCGCAATGATAAAGTGTCCAACCTATAACTAGAAGGCTTCCAGTTCAATTCCCACACAGAGGTAGATTCTACAATTATTCCTCCGGGATTGATGCAATAAGTACCGCTTTGTGGAAAGGCAACGATAGCTTCATAGACATGTCCTGAAAATATCTTAATTGGCTAAGAAACTCCCATGAAAATAAGCCTCAATCAATGCTCACTTAAGCTTGAAGACATTTTTGACTTGTCTATTTGTCCATTTTATTTTATGGCCAAATATAAATGGCCAGAGCGGAGCTGGGTCGAACAGCATGGCTTTTAACTGAAGGCCAACCCCCTATTTGTTGGCGTTTGGCTGGCCTCTTGACCAGTGGAAGTCGGTTTGCGATATCATGGAGGCATGCGGCATGACGCCTCGTTACTTTAAGTTTGCAACCGTCGCGGAGATTTTGCGACGCTTTGATTGCTGGTAATCTACAGGCTCGCTGGACACCCCAGCTTGCTGACCAAAGCTCCGACGAGCTGAGCTTTGACCAACACCTGCTCTGTGTTCTGCATTCCTCAAATCGGTGCCCTGCCGAGAACGCAATATCAAGCACTGTATAGCCTGCTGATCTATCTGTTGTGTGGCTTTATGGCCAGATTCCTGCTGACACACGGCTTGTGCGGCCATATCGTGGTTATCCGAAGTGTTGCCAAGGGTCTCTTTGCAGAACAGCAGCGGCTCCATCTCCTGACCCACCTCCACAGGTGGCCGTAGCATCTGCACCGGCTTTGGCACCGGATGCTTGGCTGGCACGATGCTGCGTGGGCACAGCTTGAGTACCCAGCGCTGCTGCTGTGGCGGCTGCTGCTGTTTAGTTGACTGGTGAAGAGGCACATGTGGTACGGCTGAGGCTGAGGCTGAGTGGGAGGGCCGCTCAGAGTGGACAGCAGGCTTTTCCTTAAACTCCATAACCTGCTTCGAGTTGAAGTTGTATTTACTAAAGAGTTCAAACACAGGGAGAGAACGTAGAGTTAGAAAAGACAGGTCCATGCCTGTGTGTCTAATCATGTTAGGTTCAAGCCCATCTTGTAATCCTTGAACCCAATATCACACCGTGCCCTTGACAGCAATAGAATAAGTTGACGTAAATAAAAAAAAACATCTAGGATATACTGCAGTAATTAACACCACTGCATAGTACTATCGTTTGTTGTAGTTTGTCCTCAAAATAGCATAAGTGGAAACAACCGTGGGGCAAAATCTTAAAACCATACTCCCCAATCTCAAAAAATTAAGAGTGTGCAACTTAGCGTCGTTATTTTTAACTCACGGTTGCTAAGCACAGGCCCAAAGGCCCAAAATACCAAGAAGCCAGCAACGGCACGATAAGAAGGTCTAATCGTTTAGAGTTCATCTGCTTTTTTTAATTCAGCAAGGTTATGAGAAACCTCAACCATAAGGGGCTATCTACTAATGAGTCACAAGGCACCATGGGTATGCTGGAGCCCATCACTGAGTCTCAGGGCATCCATGATGAGCTAGGACGCATCCACCAATGATGCATCGCTGCCCAAACCATCACTTATTTAAAATTAACTGTGAGTCAAAGGAAAGTGAAAGTGTCTCCCAGATCAAATGTGCAATGTCGGTGGGACTCAACACCACTGCCAGCACCGAGGTAGTCGTGTAAATGCAACATTCTTATGGTGGAGGCCAATATCTCCAGAGGACAAATACTGTTGTCAAGTCGGTATCATAGAGACTAAAAAAAGAGGCCATTGTGCAACAGATGCCAACTATTTTATAAAATATCTATGACAACTAAATAAAGCTTATATAGTATGTAGATACCTGTGTGTGCGAATTTCACTATGATGCCAGATAACCTATATTCAATTTCCCTTAGGTAAATTCGGCTTTAACGAGTAACCAGTATGGGATGTAAACATCAACAGTGGAGAGAAATTAGCACATTACCACCTCGTGAGCCACAACTCAGCCTTAATAGGTGCTCAGCTTCAATAGGTGCTCGCCAATGGCAGTTGTCCCAACAATCTACACGGTTACTTGGGAGAGCTTTGTTTTGTTTGTCGTGCAAATAGATCACCAAATCAGCTGCGACACGCATGGCAGGAGCATCTCCCAGGCAAGGCCGGTGCAGTGCTGCATGTGCAGAGTCCACGCAGAGGCCAGCTTCACCCCCATACGGGCCAATGCTATGCTTGCAGCCGCCACCACGGATGGACGGAAACTCAGGAATACGTGGTCTGCGTACATACACACACACACAAACCAACCTATGAAGACCGGCATGGCACACTACGGGGTGGGTGGCCAGCAGTGAGTTACTCATTTGAGGGTGAGTCGACCTAGGGGAGGCCCAGGACGGGTTCAGATAATCGTCACTGGTGTTAGCCGTGAGCGGCAATTGGACCAGGGTGGCCAGAGTCGTAGCACAGCGTAGCGCTAACCGCTACACTACCGTTCCCCTGCATACAGGAATGACAGGCAGGCACACACACATACGCTTAAACACACAAGCACCCAGTGAACATGGAACGTTGGGCCAACGGCGCCCTGACCATTTTAACCACATTCCAACGTTGGAAAAATAAATATATTTGGTGACGTTTCAGGCATTGTCCCTTCTTCAGCATTGCAAGGTCGGTGCCTACGAAGTGCTCCTCTAGAGGTCTGCGAGCACCTTGCAGGGAGAGCTGAAGGAAGTGGGCCATGTACTTGATCATGTACGCGTGCTGGTAGGACAAGGACGACTGTTGGTGGCCGTTTGAGCCTCCAGCCGAGGTGTCCTCACGCTGCGTCAGCCACAGGAAGTAGTCCACGTAGTGCGCCGCTGTCGGCATGCACAGGTTCCAGTTGAATGTACGCAGCAGCATGAACTGTCCAGGAGAAAGGAAGGCGGGATAGTGGGCTGGTACAGCACTGCTGCCATCACTCCATGAAGCATTCAGTCCGTCATACTGTTGTGTGTTGCCTGGAGGGTTTACTTAACGAGTTGGTTGGTGCATGGCTCGCAAACAGTTCAAATGTCTGGTCAAGGAGTCAACTCAGCCCTTCGTCTGTACGGGTAAATAAAATGACTATCACTTTGTGAAAAGTTAACAATGATTGTTTTATGGAGAGACTTAGCCCCGCCATAGGAAGGGAGAATTTCCTGCACTTGTTCCAGTGCCATGTAAATAAATGAGCACCACTCCACGTTCATTTGTCAGGTCTGCTGTGGTAATGTTATTCTGCAGCTTTTGCCTTCCTATTATCTAGTAAGAAGACATGCTTCTATATTCAAATTCGGGCTGTGCATTCTAATCTTCTACAGCATAATTAGTCGGCATCAAACAGCGCATAGACAGAGACGATGTAATTATAATGGCCACAGAAATGCTGGTGCAGGGCAGGAGAGAAAGAGATCAGAAGAAAATGGTGAAAGAACATCCAAGCAGTTGATCTCGTACAACGATGGTACTTCTGGCTCAGAAGAATGATGAATTAATGTATTAATTAAATTCATTCATAATGCTCATGTTGGCACGGTTGGCTATGTACAGTGAGGGAAAAAAGTATTTGTTCCCCTGCTGATTTTGTACGTTTGCCCACTGACAAAGAAATTATCAGTCTATAATTTTAATGGTAGGTTTATTTGAACAGTGAGAGACAGAATAACAACAACATCCAGAAAAACGCATGTCAAAAATGTTATAAATTGATTTGTATTTTAATGAGGGAAATAAGTATTTGACCCCTCTGCAAAACATGACTTAGTACTTGGTGGCAAAACCCTTGTTGGCAATCACAGAGGTCAGACGTTTTTTGTAGTTGGCCACCAGGTTTGCACACATCTCAGGAAGGATTTTGTCCCACTCCTCTTTGCAGATCTTCTCCAAGTCATTAAGGTTTCGCGGCTGAAGTTTGGCAACTCGAACCTTCAGCTCCCTCCACAGATTTTCTATGGGATTAAGGTCCGGAGACTGGCTAGGCCACTCCAGGACCTTAATGTGCTTCTTCTTGAGCCACTCCTTTGTTGCCTTGGCCGTGTGTTTTGGGTCATTGTCATGCTGGAATACCCATCCACGACCCATTTTCAATGCCCTGGCTGAGGGAAAGAGGTTCTCACCCAAGATTTGACGGTACATGGCCCCGTCCATCGTCCCTTTGATGAGGTGAAGTTGTCCTGTCCCCTTAGCAGAAAAACACCCCCAAAGCATAATGTTTCCACCTCCATGTTTGACGGTAGGGATGGTGTTCTTGGGGTTATAGGCAGCATTCCTCCTCCTCCAAACACGGCGAGTTGAGTTGATGCCAAAGAGCTCCATTTTGGTCTCATCTAACCACAACACTTTCACCCAGTTATCCTCTGAATCATTCAGATGTGCATTGGCAAACTTCAGATGGGCATGTATATGTGCTTTCTTGAGCAGGGTGACCTTGCGGGCACTGCAGGATTTCAGTCCTTCACGGCATAGTGTGTTACCAATTGTTTTCTTGGTGACTATGGTCCCAGCTGCCTTGAGATCATTGATAAGATCCTCCCGTGTAGTTCTGGGGTGGTTCCTCACCATTCTCATGATCATTGCAACTTCACGAGGTGAGATCTTGCATGGAGCCCCAGGCCGAGGGAGATTGACAGTTCTTTTGTGTTTCTTCCATTTGCGAATAATCACACCAACTGTAGGTCACCTTCTCACCAAGCTGCTTGGCAATGGTCTTATAGCCCATTCCAGCCTTGTGTAGGTCTACAATCTTGTCCCTGACATCCTTGGAGAGCTCTTTGGTCTTGGCCATGGTGGAGAGTTTGGAATCTGATTGATTGCTGCTTCTGTGGACAGGTGTCTTTTCTATAGGTAACAAGCTGAGATTAGGAGCACTCCCTTTAAGAGTGTGCTTCTAAACTCAGCTCACTACCTGTATAAAAGACACCTGGGAGCCAGAAATCTTTCTGATTGAGAGGGGGTCAAATACTTATTTCCCTCATTAAAATGCAAATCAATTTATAAAAATATTGACATGCGTTTTTCTGGATTTTGTTGTTATTCTGTCTCTCACTGGTCAAATAAACTTACCATTAAAATTATAGACTGATCATTTCTTTGTCAGTGGGCAAACGTACAAAATCAGCAGGGGATCAAATACTTTTTTCCCTCACTGTACGGTGCGAAAGAAGTTCAACATACATGCTTACATGTCAACTCCTGCGATGTAACTTACATTCTAATCTAACATCTAGGCTCATGGAGTAGAATATAAGGAAACCGAGACATAACGAGGAAAAACACAAACAAGATTGTAAAAAAACAAGACAAAACAATTGATTCTTGAATCAAATCGTGACCTTGAATCATGATAATGCATGGAACTGTTCTGGGGATGAAACATTGCATGCCAAATTGCTCGGGGCATGTAGCTACCTCCGTCTGTTGCAATTCCTTCTTGGACAGACTCAGTCCTCGCTTGGTCATCACCTCCAGGCGGTTCACCCAGTCCAGTCGTGGCACCTGCTCAATCTTCTCCTCAAACTTGGCTGTGCAGGGTGTCAGGAACACACATGCTGACAGTGAACGAGCAACTAAGCGTGCAAGTGAGAGATGAGCGAGTGATCGAGTGGGTGGGTGGGTGAGTGAGTGGGCACTTAAGCCATTGACCGACCTGCTATAATTAAGCAGCAGATTGAGCAGGTATAGAGGCAGCGGACGGTGATGTTGTGCCGGTCCATGAACATGTCTAACATTGAGATGGCCAGGTGGTGCGTGGCCACACTCAGCTGCAGGTGCTCGCTCAGTGTTGCCAGGAGGTCAACGAAGTAGCGACGCAGGTGCAGCTGGGGCGAGCGTGCGCAAAACCGAGGCAGTGACAGCTCCTGTGAGGGAAAAAGACGACATGAGGTTGGGAGGGCAGTTGGACGCTCTTAAGTTGGGTCAAGAGGTCAAGTGTTTGAAACGATAATAGAGTATTCTGGTTATGGTGGGCCATAGCATTTAATTTTCGCCATCACGCAGACCGAGAATGACAAAAACCACAGCCAAAGTGTCTCCCTGTTCAAGTGAGTGAAATATGGCGTTTATCTCATTTGGTAGTCCTCAGCCTATGGTGAAAAAAAACCAGATTCATAAGGTGGGAGATCCGTACCTCCAAAGCACAGCCACTTTTATTTTTCCACAAGGTACCGTATTACTCATTTTATAGTCCCCGGAGAGATAGGGGGCTGGGTTGACCTGCTGACCAGGATTGAACTTGCAACCTTCTAGCTGCGAGTTGAGCACTCAAACGTACGTGCCGTATAATCAGTTCATAGGATTTGTGTCTGTGTGTAGGAGGCCTATTAATGCGTGAGACAGATACCTTCTCTCGAAGAACACGGTAGATGTCATCTGCCAACTCTCCTTGCCACCATTCGCTTTTGTCCATGTCTTGGTTCGTCGCTCGCGCCTCGTGCTCAAGAGTTTATTACTTGGACAGGCACGTGCTGGGTGCACACAAGTGTTCACAAATGAAGTTTATTACTTGGACAGGCACGTGCTGGGTGCACACAAGTGTTCACAAGTGGAGTTTATTACTTGGACAGGCACGTGCTGGATGCACACAAGTGTTCACAAGTGGAGTTTATTACTTGGACAGGCACGTGCTGGATGCACACAAGTGTTCACAAGTGGAGTTTATTACTTGGACAGGCACGTGCTGGGTGCACACAAGTGTTCACAAGTGGAGTCGTGGAGGCACAGGTGGTACACAGTATTTTCTTGAATGACAATATCTCACAACTTTGCCTCAACAAAGGAGCGATATCTCACGTCTTAAATAGAGTTGATGACCTAGGGATTTGTCATCCACCGTTTCATTTTGGTAATACGGTGAAAGTACATGGTTGTGGACATTTTTTACATTTTACTGTGGATAACAGGATGAAAAACTCCTCTTTTTCACAAAATAATTCACCTACCACAGAGTGGCTCTATAGCCTCTTAAATAAAATAAATGTCACCGTCCAAAAAACTAGAAACCTGCCCAAGATTAGTTCAAATAATCTGGGTGGTCAACAGTGATTAAACTGGGTTCTCATTTATAGCGAGTTTGTGTTCTTAGCCTGGTCACAAACGACTGCAAGAAAAAAATGATCGAAGCTGGTTTTATTGCTTTACAGGAGAGCTTGTGAAAAAGTGTGCCAGCTATCGTGTAAATAATAAATCGCACGCATGATCATTCTCTGATACACAGGGTATGCTGCTCTGTGGGATAATAACATCGATTCTGTCTCATTGTGATTACGATGGGAATGAAAAAAAAACACAAAATTAAACAGATATTCAGAAAGTATAATACACTTTAACTACATCCTGTTCAGATTTCAGCCGTGTCAAAAAGTAAACATGCCTCCTTACTCAAATGAGCAACTGGGCAGCAGAAATCTTGTTTGGCAGTCATGCGAAGGCATAGGAAATTGCACGTTCCTATGGCAAGCATCAGGTCTATAAATTGGACAACCACTCTTAATTTCCAAAGTGGAATCATTGAATTAAAAAAACACCTTGAGTGCGCATGGACTAATTTGAAGTGAGTCTGACGAGGATGAACTGCCAATTTTCCAATTGCGAGTCCTGTGATCTAGCCACAGCGCCACTAAAACAAACCCAGATTGTAAGCACTATTTTAAATCAGGTGCAACAAACTGATAAAAAAAAATATTTAGATGCTTTATTTCAATATTTTGGAAAATGCACCTCAATTTTATGTGGCAATTTTCTATTCATACACCCTAATTTTAGAAAATTTTGTTAAAGTATTTGGCTGTGTGGCATTGTGGCAGACAACAACTTATGGGGTTTTTGTTTTAAGAGTTGTATTTTTTAATTTAAACTGGGATAAAGCCCACTGAGACAACCTTTTTCAATTTATTTAGCAATTAAAGCCTGGATAATAAAAATTATACTATATTACCACAGGCTATGCCATAGGAGGGTGGAATTTCCACCACTGGCGTATGGGCGTCTCATGCTCAATAGAGCATGAAGAATATATGCAGAATTTTCACAACACTTGGAAAAAGAAACTACATTTACGATTTTTGCACGAAAAAAATTCCTATGCGTCAGAAAAAAATGCATTTGTTATTTACACATGTGCAAACTTCATAATGTATTTGCTTGAGCAACACCGATTATATTATTGATGATATCTTAAAGTGCTCATACTAAACCGGTTTCCAACCTCTCAAACTCACCCCCTACCCCCACAATGCATGTGAATAATGTAAAAAATTGTACTCTTAAGATTAAAAAAATAGTCTTTCCAAACACTGTCCATTATTATATGTTGAGAAGGAAAATTATACACATTCAAATAAAAACGACCAATAACACCTCACATTAACAGTGAAACTGTGATTGTTTTAACACCTCAATATATCACGATATATTTGAAATATAGCAAGTCTCAGTTCTTTCATTGGAAATATGAATAAAGAAAGCAGTTTGATGCGATGTAAGTATTGGTATACGAGTAGAATGTAGTTTTTAAAAGCTCATGTATATTGAATATAAAAAGTAAAACAGATATGTCTCAATGAGTTATCATTTGGTTATCAATAAAGGTATTTTTGACAATGATGATGATAACAGCTGACGAAAGCAATGTACATTCCATTAAAGAGATTAGGAATGTTACAAACAATTGCAGGTAATACACTGCAATAAAAATGTGTATGCATTTCTGCAATCATAGAAACAGCATTACACCAAAACCCTGCAACTCTTTAGAATACACATAACATATAAGGTACAAAACAAAGATTTATATTTACCTTTGGAATAATGAAACTGCTTTTGCAATTTAGAACTCCAGACTCATTTCCAGTATACTCTATTGTGGTTCCAGAGCAATGTTTGGCTTATGAAGAGATGGCTCTTGGTGCAGGCTAAGAGTTTAAATGCAATGGAATGTGAGATTAGCGCAATCTGAGACCAGATAATATATTGTCTTTCCAACCACACCTGTATGGAATGTAATTTGTGCCCTCTTTAACCTTTTAATGACTTATTAGGGAGAACTCTCAGCAACAATGAGATCAATTGATGTCATCAGCCACAGAAACCCATGCACAGACAATGGGACATTTTTTTCACTTCACATTTAGAAATATGCGGTTTAGACTTTACAGTATTTGGCTGCTATTAATTTCCACATGATGCTAAGCCACTTCGCTGAGCTATCATTTGCGGCAAGGTCTCTTCTGAAAAATATCTATATAGCTCAGTGGGCCTTACCTGGTAAAATATGAAATAGTTTATAAATAGTTTCGTTTCAATTAAAACCGCAAATATTCTCCTTTTACTCTCAGTCGTTAGAAAATAAACTAGCGTGAGTTTAAAATCAATAAGTTAAATTGCATATACTGCAATAATTATTTCCAAGAAGCTTTCACGACAATGCACACATAATTTGAAAACTCCCATTAAAACAACATGTAAAAGTTACCTGTCCTTTGCTCTCTAGTTTAAGGACAGTTCCCTGATTGGGGGGGGGGGCTCCTCCAGCACCAGATAGTTTCCCATCAGACGCAATGCCACCCTCGTTCCACTAAGTAGCGCGCCACTCGTTACAAGTTGTGGTGTGTAAGGATATTCAATATTTCACACATTAAAAAAAAACATCTGTTGATACGGTGTGTTTGGGGGTGTGTATCGTGAGGCAGGGAAGGGGGGCAGTGTACAGTGGTCCAGATTTATTGTGACCCACAATTAATTTACCTAACATTATTTTTTCCTGTGCATATTGAATTCCATTTTAAACTAACCTTACGTTAAATATATTATGTTTTTGATTATTAAATGGGGGGTCACAGGACATCTGGACCACGCTGTCGGTGTTGGAAGAACGTGTCTTCACGCATCGAGCAGCCCTCCTTTCTCACATGCCAACGTTGTCTCAACGTTTCCATGCTGATACAGCACTAGGATGTGTCTCCTCCCCAGTGGAGTGGCTTTTCCACCCAAGATTGGGGCATTAGTGTAGAGTAAATACTTGCATGAAGGTGCAGATACAGATAAACATTCACTTTGTGAACAGTATTTAGTGCTGAAGGGACTTAATCCTTATTTTCTCCTTAACAGCTCATACAGTACCTGCGTAAGGCATGGAGCAATTACTTGGCCTGTGGCCCTCAGACCCGTGAAACCAGTTTCAGAGAGCATCTCGACTCAATGCTGACAATTCCATAAATTGAAGTGGAAGTTTTCACTGAGATATTAACAGAACCGGTCCATACTATTATTCCCACTCGGACGTATACTGCACTCCCCTTCATGTGTGAGGCAAATAAAAAAAAGCAACTCTTTAAACTTGTTTTTTTTTATTACTGCTACTCTGAAACACACGCAGGCCTTCACCTCAAACGGGATTTGTGTTTTTCTCATGAAAATGAATAAAACAAAATTAGCTCACACCCATCTGCCGAGTGTATTCTTGTAAACACAGCCGTTAGGGGCATCGTTTTGCACGTAAGTTCAAAGCAGGATGTAAGGGGACGCAATGAGGAAGCGCGATTTCCCGTGCTCGTGGTTTCACTTTGATGGCCAAAGTTGTCAGCCCACACAAGAACATGTCATGACCACTACACCGATTCTGTACTAAAACATCCCCACCCCGCCGCCCGCTTTAATCGTAACAACTTCAGAGATTTGTTTTTTTTATCTCGTGCGTTTGCAACAACTCAACGTGGTCGAGGCGAGGTAAGTCGCTCACTTTCTTTAACTGCAGGTGTTTTATTTATTTAGTTCCTAAAGCGCACGTTCGCATCGCGGCTGCGTAACCTCCAAGCGACGCCTGCTTTGTTTATTTTCGGCGCCCACAAGTTCAGCGTTTGACCCCCACAAGTTCAGCGTTTGACCCCATCACCCGGGGCTCATCATCTCCGATCTCGGAAGCTAAGCGTGGTTTTTGTTTTTGAACCGATCCATTATGGGACGTTAATGCCTGCATGGGGGTTGGGTGGGGGGGGGTACGAACGCAGTAAGCAGCAGAAAGCAGTGGAGCAAAGTGTAATGTTGTACTCCACATGTATTGCTCCCACCGCGCCTGCTCGTTCGCCTTCATTAAAACCCGAGCTGACCAGCGTGGTGAAGTATGGTTAAATTAGCCCCCCCCCCCACCACTGTGACGCGTACCGCGTGGGAAGGGGCTCATCGAGCAGTGGACGCGCAAAGGGGGGGGGGGGGTGGGTGCAGGGTGCTCCAGATGTCTTGTGACCCACCATTTAATTATCTAGAACTTAATATATTGTTTTAAGGAAAACATAAATTAATCAACAATTTTCGGGGTCGATTAATTAGGGGTCACAGGACATCTGGACCACGCTGGACACGCACTTACGCCTGACAATGTATGCGCCACTGAAGCAAAGCCTCGCTCAACAAGGATTGTTGAGACACGGTGAGAATGATGGCTGGTGATTGTGGTCAGTCCTTGTATTTACATAGAGCAATAACCTTATTCTTGTTTACATTTTAGTATATTATACAGCACCTACTATGGTAACGCACATCTGTTTAAACAACGCGTTTGGTTTCTCAGTAAAATGTAACAACAAGGGCTAAAGACAAATTGTACTAGTTTTTTTAATTCTTCTAAAAATAATCTTCCCTGTTTGTAAGGTTCAGCAATGTAAAGCGTATGAAAGTCCCGTTGATTCCTAACATACTTTGACAGTCCTTAATCCCATTCAAATGATAATTTAGCGCAGGAATTAATCTTTGAGTGGATTATGCTCATGACTCTTTTGTTCAAGGTGCCAGCAACATTTTAGACTGCAATTTTACTTTTTATACAAATGAGTACGAATACATTTGGATCACTGAAGGTCTGTCTGTTATTCTATTAATATGCCACCGTTCGTACTGCCATTGTAATCAAACTGTTGAGCAGGAAACTTTTTTTAAATGTCATCAGCGCCTATGGATGCAGTCTCCAGCTCTCAATTGACCTACTGTCTCTCTGACTTCCATGTGCTGAAACGTTGACCATTATCTATTTTTACTTTAAAGGCACTTATTGACCAATTTGTTGAGTTGTTTTGTATCGTGTAAATGGTATGTTTTAACATAAATATAATAATGTTTTTTTTATATATACCCGATGCTGTCAGTTAAGTACAAATTGTAAATAAAGTGTTGCCATCGTAAGCCCATACCATGGCATGCCAACAAAAACACAGGCCACGATGAAATACGTACAGTACTGTGATGCTGTCATTTAGTAACTATGAACGTACAACAATAATTATGCACATTTCAGTTTACGTTTGAGTTTTATATATCAAGAGGGAAATAAGCTTAAGCTCGGTGTCAGCTGTATGGGCACTTGCACAGCCATCAAGGCAATGTATTACTAAATCTTGAGGTGTCACGACATCAATCGGAGCACGACACTTAAAGACCTCTTGTCCGAGTTTGTACCAAAAATGTACAAATACTTTTAGAACTCGTTGAACGACATTGTTTAAACGCTCAGTGGCAGCGAGGAAGTTGCCGAATTCCATGAAGTGATTGGCGACACTCATAGTGAAACAGGGCCAACGTGGCACAACGTTGACACGTTTAAAGTGACGCCCCCCCCCACCCCCCCACTTATAAGAGAAATACACTCCTCATGGTGCTAACATTCAGTATGAATGCGTTGTGATCCAAAGTGCCATATTGTACGTGTTTGTAAGGGCAAAGCTACGACTCAAAGTCAAAGCTCTTCTTAAAAAAATGAGCACAATAAGATGAGCAAAGGTCTGTGGGTATCTCTGTTGAACCAGAGAATTGCACACTCCTAAGCAGAGTGCCATTGTAAAATGTCCACTCCTTGGGCGACGGAGAGATAATCTACATTAGCCTTTCACCAACCTGCACTGACCAAGTGGTCAAATATAGCATAATAAGGAAGCCTTCACCCAATGTAAGTTTGGCAATCACATACAGTATATGCATTATACTTTGCGAAGCCTCACCGAGTCTCGGAATTATTGTTCAGGGTGGATCCTGCTGCAGTTGGGGCGTTTCGCTAATTGCAATAAAAACGAGTGTTTGGCTTGTAATAATATGAGCACGAATAACGATTGTTTGGCTTGTGTGAGAAAACCAGATCGTCCGGAGAAAACCGGAGTACCCGCAGAAAAACCTACTACGCACGGGAAGGGGGTGCTTCGCATATAAATATTTGAGAATCTTTCGATTTAAAGCTTTCGTGACTGCAAGGATTCATCTTCTTTGGTTCTTTCGGTAAAGTCACGTAGAATGAGAATAAAATAATAAATTGATAAAATAAAATAACACAATAAAATTCTCACGACGTTTCGGCCACAACACAAGCGGCCTTCATCAGGTGAAGGGACGAGACTGTCTGGAGGACAGCGCTGGAGCGAAAAAGCCAGGCTCTGATCGCGACCTTTAAGCTGTGTGAGAAGAAACAAAGCGCCTTGACAAAGGAATTAGCATAGAATTTAGCATTGAAATAGCTGAGTGATTAGCTTGTGACTGGTCACAAGCTAATTTTAATGCTAAATTCTCCTAGTTATTTCAATGCTAAATTCTCCTGTTTGATTTGTACTAGGTGCCTCTGTGAATGTGTATGCTCTGACTTTAACATAGCTATTTCTGCGACCAGTCACAAGCTAATCACTCAGCTATTTCAATGCTAAATTCTATGCTAATTCCTTTGTCAAGGCCCTTTGTTTCTTCTCACACAGCTTAAAGGTCGCGATCTGAGCGTGGGTTTTTCGCTCCAGTGCTGTCCTCCAGACAGTCTCGTCCCTTCACCTGATGAAGGCCGCTTGTGTTGTGGCCGAAACGCCGTGGGAATTTTATTGTGTTATTTTATTTTATCAATTTATTATTTTATTCTCATTCTATTTGAGAATCGATTGCTGTATTGTCCTTCAATCTCTTGGCCACCTCGGAGTCAGCTCCCGATCCAACAACATCTGCTATGTTGAAGCAGTCTTCAAGTATTAACCGGGTTCAACTCTGGCATTGTCAATAAAAAAAACTATGATCTGGGCTGGATAATAATACCACCCCCACTCACGGCAGGGGATGACAACTAAAGAGTGCAGCTCCAGGTAAATCCCCCATCTACCCCAGAGCACGTGCAGCCCGTTCCCACAGCGGCAGGCGACCAGAGTATCATTGTGGTATCATGCGGTGCTCATTTTCACAACCACGGAAAAAAATGATGGAGTTTTGTTAACCATACCTAGGGGGTTTGAAGGATTCGGTTGTGTTATAAATTGTTATCAGCATGCTTACACATATGGGTGGATTTGATGCGCGTTGTAATGTGCCTGCAATTTTTTCCGTGCGTTCTTCATAGATTAATGTTGGATCAACGCTGAAGAGGCTGGGAAGACATTTCAATACAGCTAATTCGCAAAGCAAGCAACATCATCATCATGGCTAGGCGATGCCACCTGTATGAGGAACTTGATATTCATGACATTGACCTTCACCTGGAGGTTCCCATTTATGAACTTCTGCAAGAACAGCTTAATGCCAAATTTGCAGGGCGAGTGGAATTTGTCATGAACCACAAGACGTCCAAGTTGAGAATGAAAGGAAGTGAAGATTACATTGGAAATGCAACACAGTACATTGCATCCAGCAATGAGCACATTGTCAAGAGCAGGTGTAAGGTTAATCATTTTCTCGAGGAATTTTTGCAGTCCACCGATCTCGCACAGTTTTCACAAAAGCATTTAAAAGAAAATGGGATCAGAGCAGTTTGTGCCAATGATGGTAACGGGGTGTACGTGTGGTCCCTAAAAGATCACCTCGAAAAAGCTGATGCCACGTTGAAAGAAGCCCTCAAAGCCTGGTCATTCCCACTTACAGAGGAGCATGCACGCATTGCAAGTGGTGAAGACTGGAGCAGATTTTTTAAACAATTGGAACACAAGTTTTCCGTGAGCCCAATGAGTTCGTGCAAATTCACTTTTGAGAAAAACAGTGATGAATCTTTCCCTTTTATATACATCGCTGGGAATACAACCGCTGTCTATGAAGCCGAAAGGGAGTTGGCCAACTTCTTTAAGCAGCACACCAATGGAGAAACAAACACTTTAAAGGACAAATCCCCATCTGTACAAGTGAACAACCATCTCGGACTCAACGATGGTGCAGAGTTTAACCAGTTACAAAGTGGCGCTATGGACAACAGCAGCCTGCACAATAATTATTTTCCCTTGTATGCAACAGTAAATAAACTTAAAGTACTAAAGGATGGTGCAGAGTTGATCGATTTCCAGGGTGGTTCTGTGGACGACGGCAGACTGAACGGTAATGATTACCCTTTATATGCAACAGTAAATAAACGCAAAGAACTAAAGGATGGTGAAGAGTTTGGTGAGTTACAGGTAAACAAACATCAAGGACCGAAAGACGGTGCACGATTCAAAGAGTTAGGAAACGGCTATGTGGAAATAGGTACGTTGAACTTGAACGAGGACCTTTTATATGCACAAGTAAACACACATTCAGGACAAAATGATGACAAGCAGTTTAGAGAGCTACAAAGTGACCCTGTGAAACCACACACAATTAAATATGAGCCACTGTATGAGTGCATTTCATTTTCAGGAAAAGACGAACATGAGGCTTCAAAAGAAAGTGAGGAGTTGAGTGATTTACAAATTGATGCTCTTCTCTCTCACATGAACCCCATTTTAAAGAATTCGTTACTGGTTACACATAAATTGCCAGGTGGCCGCTTCTTGCACTTGCACGTTGGAGACATGCTGACATTTCCTGTAGATGCCATGGTGAATGCAGCAAATGAAAATCTCGACCACATGGGAGGCTTAGCGAAAGCCCTGTCTGATGCCGCAGGCCCCAGCCTCCAGAGAGAAAGCAACGGTCACGTCAAGAGGCATGGCAAGGTCTCCTTTGGAGCAGTGGTCATAACTGGGCCGGGCCGATTGCCATGCAAGAAGGTGTTCCATGTCGTCGGGCCAAAGTGGACAATCCGAGAAAACAGCGCCAACAACGGACAACTGGGCATCAGTCGTCTGAACATGGCCATCGTGAGTGCTTTGAAAGCGGCTGACGAAGAGGGATTTAATTCCATTTCCCTCCCTGCAATAAGTAGTGGCATTTATGGATTTCCTGTGCCACTGTGTGCAAAAACAATTTACACAGCGATATTAGTGTACTGTGGGAAGACCAAGAACTTTCCGCACACTCTCAATAACATTCATGTCATCGATCTGGGGGATGAGTTTGTGATGGAAATGTTGAATCTCACGCAAGAAGACAATGATGATGTCATTCTGGCGCATGGCTTGTCCGACCACCTAGGTACAAAGCATGGTGATTCAAAAACCCAAGAACACAGAGGATTCATCGACAGTGGATTGCCGCAAAATCAGGGCTTTGTAAATGACGAAGAAAAACACAGAAGCTGGGTTGCTCCAAATACGTGCGAGAATGAGGAAAACACATTCATGACGAGTGAAGGAATAAAAGTAACAATTGCAACTGGTAATCTTGAAGACCAAAAGGTAAGTAGATTCCTTCGTCGTTTTGTTGGCTAACAACCAAGGATTGAATATCAAGGCTTTAAGATTGTGTTAAAGAGTGTGTGGGGTATAATCAGCTATAGTTTGTTTTTGGACTTCTGCAGAAAATGTCGCAGCTGTAATGTTTTGTAAAAGTGATTCCTCCAAAGTCATGTCACACCTGTCAACCCCTTGTCAGTGCCCTACCTTATTACAGACCAATTCGGACCTTATTGGACACACCGTGCCCTTATAAATCTCAACGTTCATCCTACAAAGTCCCATCACAAGAGAGAAACACAAACAAATAGACTTTTCTTTTTGTTCCGGCCAGTTTGCCGGTTCGGTGCCCGTATTGAATCGGCTGTACGCCGTATGAACCTGAAAGCTCAATTTCCTTGTACAAGATTACGGGTAAACCGTATGTAATGTAGTGTTGTTGGGGTGTGCCAAACAGAGAACCATTTTACAGCCAATAATCAGCTAAGGGTAGGGCAAGTATGTCTTGCTGCTGGCGTTAATGTGTCAAGATGCTGGCTCCACCCACAGGCAGAGCTGACCAATCACGCTTTGATTCTTTCTTCCACGCACATGCTCGTGTGTCATTCGAATTTGCATGCAAAAGGGGCAAATACAGCAGACTTTGTTTTTATTTGCGAACGTGGATAGGTAGAGTCGTGCGTGAATGTGTGACTATTCTACACAACAGGCTGTTATCGCCTGCAGGGTTTCTTGGTGGGCAGAGGGCAAATGCAGTAAAATCCATTACTGTATCGGCAAAGGATTGAGTCGACTCCCAACCAGAATTAATTTTTGTGCCTTTCAGTCGAGAGTCACGTCAACTCATTGCGCGTGATGAAGTTCATCCCTTTTTTTGTGATTTTCAGACGGACGTCATCGTGAACACGGTGTCCCCCAAGATGGATCTCAGCATGGGGAGAGTTTCATCTGCGCTCGCTCGCAAGGGCGGGCCGGACCTCCAGGCAGCCGTGAACAAAAAAAAGATATTACTTTTGCAAAACCATTTTGAGACAGAACCAACGGGTGATTTGTCCTGCAAGAGGGTTTACCACGTGATTCTTCAGCTTGCATACAGGGAAAACTGCCCTGAGGTAAAGTTTGCATTTTGGGTGTGATTAGCGTTGACGTGACATTATGCAGTAATTTACAGGTAAGTCGTGTTATCATTGTTAATAAACACAGGCACGGTTGGTGTTACAGGCACCATTTAACGTGTTTCTCCAGCAGAACTCCTCTTATCCATTCCCCTATTACCCGTGACTCCTATTATCCACGGTAGCTATAGGGTCAACGAGAACCCCTGTTAACTGTGGCCCACTTTTTCCTATTTGCGATTGGCACAATTTTGCTCAGTTCATAGCAAAGCTGCTTTGTTTTTACCCACAATTCTTTCCGCGGATGAATGGAGTCGCACCCCAAATTCATTTTATTACATCACATTTTCTCTCCGCAGATTTTCCTTCCACAACTAATGGTGATTTTGTTTTTGTATATTATGTCCTTTACACCGGGTAGTTTCAGAGCCCCAAAGCTCACTGTTAACATTTGAAAGGGCACCCCCAATGGCAGCTGCCTCTGTGGGCACAAGTTTGTCTGACTCACCACCTGACGTGCAAGCTTGCTGTAGCCTGCCAGTAGGGGAGATGATTGCCGTGTTTAATCACAACTGATGAGAGAGGCTCTATATGTATCTGTAGCTCTTTAGGATCTACAACCAAAACGCCTTATGCAGTGAGCTTGATCTCAAACGAAAGCTGGGTGCTACTTCCCAATCGTCCGAAATTTGCTGTTAACCTATTTAGTCTTGCTCATATATTGAGGCATTAAAATGGGCAGTCTCGGCATGATACGCAAATTAATGTTGCACGCTCGGTGAACTCGCGCTGCCATGTGTTAGCTGATATCAGCGGGGAGTGGTGTCCGAACCAGTTCTGAGTCCCCCCCACGAGCAGCATGCACTGACCAATATGGTGAAGTATGGTTAAACAACTACCAATGCTGACACGGTATGACCATTTGTATTTAGTACAAATAACCTCATCATAATAATGAGGATTTATAAGGCGCCCTTCTGCATGCTTCTCAGAGCACCTTGAGATTTCAGAGAAGGATAGTACTGTGTTACTAATGAAAACGTTTGTACTTTACATACAATATTAACTTGATAAAACCTTTTCTTACTTCAGGGGCTCAGAAACGGCAGTCTCCACGTGGCACTGAAATAATAGTTGTCGCATACGATTATTGACTGATGACATTCTCCTGCTCCACTGCATAACAATTTTTTTCAGTTATCGATGATTACAGAAGATCTGACTGGGTAATCACCGTGCTTAGAATGCTCAACTCACAATCAAAAGTGTGTGAATTTAATTCCTGGTTAGTGACTAGGTCTGCTGTCCATCTGTGCTTGATCAAATTAATACCACTTTGGTGGGAAGTGGGTGGGTGGTGGTTCTATTGAAAAATTGACCCCTGCCAAGGGAATGTGGAACCTCCTTCACTGGTTCAGGCATGCTCACGGCAACGCTCGCCATCCCATCGTTTACTAGGAAAACACTTTAATATCAACCAGTACTGTATTAACATGGAGATTTGAACGTGTGATTTTTCTGCACTCTTATAAGCTGAGGAAGACAGTGATTGGCTGCCTGAAGCGGGCACATAAGGCCAACATGAGGTCAATCTCCTTCCCGGTGATGGGCAGTGGCAAGCAGGGATACCGTCTGGAGGAGGTGGCAAAGTGCATGCTCCATGCTGCCATCTCATTCAGCGAGCAGCACAAGTTCTCCACGCTGCAGCTCATCCAGATTGTGACGCTCAGCACGGACAGCGCTGTCGTTCCCGTGAGTGCAATCTCACAGTTTGAGCTTGGGGAAAGCGCCGAGTTCAACTTTAATCTTAAGTGCCGAACAATTATGGCACTAAATGGAGGAATGTGAATGTTGCTATATCAATAGTACGGAAGATATAATAACATCGTCAAATGACGTCGCGAACGCTTATATACAATCCTTCACACTTGTGTTCAGTTAAACAGTGGCCCTGGAGAAGAATGAAAAGCCAAATGCTTCAGAGACTTATTTTATCTTAATGCTAAATGTTTATTTACCAACTTAGAAGGTGGTGCTGTGATTAAAAGCACTTAACTCAAAGTCACAATGTTGTGAGCTCAACTCATCCAGGGATCCTTCTAGAATCGATTTAATGAGCACAATATTGGGACATCAATGAGCATTGTGCCATGGTTTACTGATCCCCACCATATGAATGTGAAAAATCCACCACTCATAGAGATGAGAACTGCTGCACGCTTCGTTAACAGAGACACCTTGACTAGAAATTATCAATATTTTATTTAAATTTTTACCCCAAAGCTCAGCATGAACAGTCGCTCGGCTGCGTGCGAGCCACTGTTGGTGAACTCGAGGCAGTGACGAGAGGGAGAGGTAGTATTGTAAACATTCGCCCAATACCACTCTTCCCAGATCCATTGGCACAGATCGTGCTTTTTTTTTGTAAATCAACAACCAGGGGAGCACAATTCAAATGTAAGATCACTGCTGTCATGGTACAAGCATGCAGTGAAAGTCGAATTCGCGACCGGTGGTACATGAGAACAAAGCGCGGGGGTTGGGTTGCAGTAGTGCCGCTCCGAGATCGTTCGACTATGCTCGACGTGATGCAGACCACAATTCCCACACTGAAGGCGACATGGCTCCACTTAATACAAATGACTTGGAATAAAATAGTTTACGCTGATTCTAGGGGCTACATTTGTTTAGATTGCTAGCATTTGGCCCGGGCTGAAGGATGGGCCCCCCTACGTCTTGAGTATAATTACAGAATAGTAGAATTGTAACCATGTACCCATTAGCTCCTTGGTGCTTCCATGCATTTTGACAATTCTGGATCGCAATTCGATTCAGGAATACGGTCGATATATGTTTTAACATTGTGGTGAATGTGGGGGCATGACCGAATCGTAAGTTGAGTGCTCTTAAAAACAGTGCTGTCCTGGCTGGATTAATTAAAATGTTAATACATTTGTTTCGGCAGATGTTCCAAAAGGAAATCTTTTTCCTGAAGAATTCTTCACAAAGAAGCCCCCATCAGGCCCGACACTGGAAACTGTTTCCTTTCCTTTAATGAAGTGAGGAATTGCTTGACCAAGTAATTCACGCTGGAGGAAACAAATGGGGTGTACAAGCTAAGAGAAGATGATTAATTTGATTTGCATATTTGTTGGCCATTAAACATACATATGCAGTATAAATCATCTGATCTTCAGCCTCGGTTCCTATTACCTCTTGGTCCTATTGGGTCCGTGTGTCTGCATTATTTTATGTACCCCTATTCTTCGTATTATCCTCGTTCATCTTCTTCTTTGTGAATTTCCACGGATAAGTGGAGTTCATCAGAAAATTGTTATCAGTATCCATGTTTATCCACAAAAATTGTGTTCTGGATACGTTGAGTCAATTTTGCGGAGAAAATCATGGATAACAGAATGTGCAATGTTCAAAATAAGATTGACTCGAAATCTTAACTCAAACTATGTGTAGGCCATTGCAGAACGACTTCTGTGCTCTGGTCCCTGGTCCGTGTGTCGTGACATCACCCCGTGTAGTTGGTGGAGTTGATGGTTCGTGTAGTAAGTGGAGTTGATGGTTCGTGCATAGGTGGTGCTGCAACGTGAGTGAACCGCTCAAGGATGATGCTGATCTTCTTTTTGTTGCCGATTTACTTGTGTGGCATTTGGGAGTTTCCTCCTCAAAATGCGCGCGTTCTCTCCAGGCACTCTGGTCTTCAGCCCTCGTGTGAAATACTTAATAAGAAATGCATAACGTGACCTGTGGTGGAAAAGTAGTTTTAATAATAAATTCGGATTGTGTTTTTTGTCAAAAGAAGTTATGAAGTTATGTTCCAAAGAGCATCACCATATTCTAATCAAGTAATGAATAATACTATTTTTTTCAACGAAAGTATAAGATCATATGATTATTTTTTGCCTCTCTCTGTAAGATTCCAGTGACACCCACTTCTGACTAGATATTTTTTTACATATAAAAAACTAACACACTAAACTGTTAATTGAATCTTCTGCAAATAATTACACAGTATGTTTTATGACATCACAAAATATAATAAATGTATAGTATGTTCTTGTTGATGTTATAAATTTATGAAAATATTCCACAATATCTATCAATTCCGATTTCTGTATACTTCATAATTGATGGTATTTCATTGAGACACTTTAAGATCCTTCGAATGTTAGTTTGGTATCTTGATAAACTCCCAAAAAAATTGCAGTGCTTTAGAAAAAAATGTGTTTGTTATGCTTGGTAGAAAATTAGTCACTTTTATTGAATCACTGCTCTTTGTAATCGCTTGTGATCTGGATGGAGTAGAGAGATTAAATTATGGGGATAAAAGTGACGAACATTTGCCTCATTCCTCAATGCACACACTGCCTTAAGATGGCCGATTGTTCACAGATGCATCCCCAGGATAAGCAATCGGACCACAAGTTCAAATCGCAGTCAGGGGGTACACTCAACTCATAAGCTAGCCCTCCAAGGGTCATTGAAATAAATACCACCTTGTGGGCAGTCAATAGTCGTCCTATGGGGAGACTTTGTCCCGTTAAAGGAATGTGGAATTCCTGCCGCTTTCTCAGGACCACCAACGAAGTCAAGTGCTGCCTGATTGAGCAGGAAGGCACACGTTGATGTGCCTTGCATCATTGGAAGATGCTGGCCAAGTGGGAATACCATGAAGATGAGGAAGGCTACATTAAAAAAAGGAATGCATAGTTTTTTTGAATTAAGAAAATCGATGCCAGTTGTATGACATGAAATTGCAATTGCGGAATATTTACTGCTGTGCCAAGCGTAGTCGGTCCGCATTGCTTGTAGTCGTATCGATTTATATCCTTGAGGCTACAATCAGCACTATTTGTTTGCTCGTGGGCTTTACACAAAGGGATTCTCCGCGTGTGGCTATTGCCGTGTCGGCCGTTGTCTTGTGTTGAGTTTGTGTTGAGTTTATTTCCATTGTACAGGGTCACAGCCTGGAACGCTTGGGTGAGGAAATGAGGGATCTCTATTTTAAGGAGTAATAAGCCACGAACGCAGCTCACTCAAACATCCAGGTATACACTCATAGAGAGAGAGAGTCATCTGTGACACACGCAGATACATTCAGCCGTTTGCATACAACCCTTGAACCCAGGACTGAAGACCACTGCCAGTTAGGCATGTGTGAGTGTCCACCTCTGCAAGGACATGTGAAGTGGAATCAAGCTAGACAGGCATGGACAATAATAATTACATACATTGTGTGTGTGTGTGTTTTAGTTTATCGTACACTATGATACAATTTGTATTAATGTAGCATTTAAATGCGAATGTGTCTCAAGCCGCCGTCCAAAATCATTTAATATGCATTATGGGGACCTTGAATCTTACACAATATTTTTTTTTTATGGTAAGGATGTGATTGAACACGCTTCATACAGAAAATAATCTAGGATGTACACTTGGTATTTCCAACATTCTTACAGCGCAAGGATATCACGAAAGCGCTGTTTCACAGTCACAACCTGTAGTAGTTTCACAGTCGGGGCAACATCGCTATGCGTAATCTCAACCGAGTAATTTCCAGGTAACCTTTTTAAGCTTGGCACACAATGGCCCACGACAAATGACATCGAGGGATATTTAATGTCCGCTGTGAAGCAGGCGGCGATACATTTTACGGTCGATACGCGGGGTCCAATGTCACCGAAAGCCCAAACGTAGAAGACATTAGAGGCAGAGGAGAATGGCAAAAGGGCTTCAGGACTGCCCGCGTGGAGGGAATTTCGAGACCACGGTAGCAGCAATGGGTTGGATATTTAACAGAAGAAGGAGACTTTGGTTTCTCGAGCAGAGAGAGGAAAGGTGTGACACAGTTTGTACTGAAAACATGTTTAAAAGCGACTGCAGTTCCACAATCTTATACCATTCGTTATTTCAGTCGTGGAGAGAGATTGGTGAGTTTCATGGTGAAGTGGGAAGGTTAGAAAAGGCAGAGTGCTGGGGAATTAAGACGTTTTGTGTCTATGTTGTATGTTAAACTTCCATACTTGTCAAACCCATACGGCTTACCACACGTATTCTTGTACAAGGAAATTGAGTTTACAGGTCCATACGGCGTACAGCTGTTTCAATACGGGAAAAAACAATTGTCTATTTGTGTTTCTCCCTTGTGATGGGGCTTTGTAGGATGAACGTTGAGATTTATAAGGGCACGAGGTGACCAATAAGGTATAAATTGGCCTGTAATAAGGTAGGGCACTGATAAGGGGTTGACAGGTCTTGACCTTCTTTCGCACCGTACGTAGCCAACCATACTCATCGGAGGTGCGATTATTTCCAAACAGCACACACAATCGTCCACCCAACCTTTGTGCATTTTGTAAAAAAAAAACCCCATTAGCAGTTCCAGCAGTTTCCTCGGGAACTGCTGATGGGGCTGGGGTGTTGCATAGCGCACAACGACTGCACGAGATTGCGTGTCGCTTGAGAATCGTGACAATACGGCTGCATCCACCATGGGGGGGGGGGGGAGGGCTTCTTCCCAGGTCGATAGGGGGCGCTAGCTTTCCATTTTTTTTAAATATGCAGAATTTTCACATTTGGTAGTACAGTACCAAAAGTATATATTCACAGATGGGATAAGTCGCTAAATTGACAAGACGAAGACGTACGAGCAAGTGGCTGAGAATGGTCAGTGACCTGGCAGAATGCGATCTAAACTATTATGAGCAGACAAGGCGATCGAAGATCGAACTCGTGGCGATAGCACGTGCAGAAACGCAGTTGTTATCTGATGAGGCCTTGGTAAGTCACACATTTGTATACCTAGGTCAGCTTTACTGAAACGTTGGGTCATTACCTCAAAGGGAATACTCCAGATTTCCCATTCATTTTCACACATTTTGAATAGGGTTCACAGCAAAAGTTAAGTTTGGTACACCAATGCGAAATTGGCCAGCTTCCATTACTATTTAATTAGAAAAGTGGAGGCTATGTGGGTTTGAATATCAACTTAATATTGAACTTCCAATCAATTCTACTACGGTGCATGCCCAGTAAAGTTGACTTTAACTTTCGATTATTATTTGATATTCGCAACCATATCGCCTGGTCATTTCAAACCTCTACTCTTTCCTGTCCTCATCCTTAAAACATTAACCATCCTTCCCCTTCCTAACCTCGCCCCTCCGTTTTCCTTTCATCACCCTTCCTTGCCATCCCTTCCCCTCCCCAACACTCAAATCCCATCTCTTTTCCCCATCAGCAAATAACTAATGTTCCATTTTTTATTATTGTAAAGCGCTTTGACAAAAGCTGTATAAAATTCTAGATAAGACGGTAAACTGAAGCTGACCGATTGCGAATTATATCACAAATTAGTATTTTCTCATTCACATAAACTTGATAGAACCTGTGAGTAAACGGTTTTCTTTTTTCATGTCCACGTGTGTTTATGAGGGGCTTCACAAGCTAAGGTAAAGTTTATGAAATAATTCACAACTGTATGAAACATAATCATGTTTTACCCTTTTCCGGCAATAAAACAGGCGTTAAAATATTCAAACACCAAATAGAAACCTTTTGCAAGGCATCAAGTCTGGTGGAGGCCAATCAGTTTCTAAAACAATGCAAATATCACAAATACTCTGTGTGGTTAATGCAGTCACTTGATTCCTTGCAAAAGGTGTCTATTTGTTGTTTGAACACCTTAACAACTGTTTTGTTGCCAGAAAGGGTAAAACTTATTCTTATTTTTCATACTTTGACACTGGCTTAAAGGTCCCATGATAATTCACAACTGGTCAGCTTCAGACAACGGTTGGTGGATACGTTGCAGGTGATGTGGTTTGCGAATGTCGAGTGAATATCAAAACTTCATACCAACTCTCACACGGTAGTCATTTGAGCGGGTTAATTCGCTCTAGTCTGTGAAGAGTGAAATCGATCAAAGAAAGGCACCTGTTTCAGTGCCAAATAAAATAACATTTCATGGAGAATTGCTGAGACCTCAAGGATGAAGCCTAAAGCCTATGATGTCTGGAGTGTTTTTTTTCTGCACTGCCATCTTCTGTCTACCATCATGCAGCCCTCACCACCTACAGGTTGGCACGGCACACAACTCACTGGTAAATATCAACAATAACAACCGCCATTCTCTACGAAGTGGCGGTGACTTTACCACGGCTCCAGCGCCAGGCCAGGTGTATTCTGAGGCCACGTGAAGTGTCGAAGGTTTGCTGACAGGAGGTCACGGGATAGATCCAGGTGCCATAGGTTGATTGAGATGACTGCCAGATGCACCAGCTGTGCCGCCTACTGTGCCAACACATACGTACACAATCATACAGTGGCAAGTTAAATGTGAAGCGATCCTGGCCACCTCCTTCACCAACCAGGATTGAGCAACCTGTTGAAGGTTATTGTTTAGAGAAGTGGTTCCCATTCTGTTGTCCAGGTAAGACCCACTGACCTATATGGCTCTTTTTCAGAACTCAACAAATTGGCTCATCATGTGGAAATTTATAGCAGCCAAATACTCTAAACGCATGTTAATTCTAATTGTGGAGGGGAAAACCGGAGGACCCAGAGAAAAATCCACACGACCACATGGGAGAGAGACGCGCAAACTCCAAATATACAGCAGGCGTCAGGGTTGGGATCGAACCCACGGCCAGACGAGAGAGTTAAATCTCGCCTGCCGCGACACCACTATGATTTAGAGGAGTTATGATGTCTAGAGATATGTTGTTTGACGCATGGTGGTCCACGAAAATATGAAAGGATTGACAGTGATCCTCGAGTTCACAAAGATTGGGAACAACAGAGAGGAGAGGTCAGAGAGTGCGTGGAGAGGAGCCGAATGAGACAAGAGGGGAGACGTAGGAGAGTGCGTGAGAGGGAGTAGGGTGAGATTGCATTTCTTGGCTACATTAAAGTTTGAAAAAGTTGGAGAGCCCTTGGTCTAGGGTTTATTTAGTAAACAGTAAATGCGGTCCTGTTCAAACAAGCAATGGAGCTGCAATGTGCTTCCCAGCCCAATAGCGTCTCAAGCTGTCTCATAATTATGTACAGTATTGCATAAACACTATCTCGTCATTTGTGTGAATCAAAAGAATCCCATTATCTATATTAATGTACTGTGGCTCAGTATCGCAACCCGGCGTGTCGAAAATAACGTGCGTTTTACATTCACTGGTTGAGCCCTGTGTGAACTGTTGCCTGGCTGGGTCAAGCCACCCACGTGGACAGGTGTGGATTTCTGTGTGCGTCAGACAACGCATGGGGGTATGGATGACGAATGGCCGAGTTCACGAAACGCACGGGAAATTCCAACAACCCTCCGTGAATTGCAGTCGGCGTCCGATTGCGGCACTTAAGGGGGTCCACGTTTCACGCAACAAATACAACTTTGGTCGTGTCAATTATCGTTTGCCTGCAAATAAAACAAACACCGATTAACGGATGTGGCGATATCCCCCCGCCCCTCTACAATTATCAACAGTGTCACAATTCGCCGTCAACATTCATAATCGATCAATATAGGGATATAAATTCTTAAGATCGCAAAAAAAACATTGACTCATATGCTGCATAATACAAATAATAATAATCGATGTGCAGTATGAGAGTTGGCCTCCTGTATATAATGGGTTCACTGACCTCCGGCAGCCACGAGAGGGGGAAGGATAACAAACTATTAGTCATTGAATATGATGTCCTATCAACTGTTTACATTGTAAAGATTATGTGCCACATGTCAGTGTGAGTTTGGTAAAAAAATAAAAATGCATTATCAATGGAGAATAAATTAGGTACTCATGGTCAATGTATATATTTTTTTATCATATTTTGCTGCGCGATAGCAGATGTATTACGTAATAAAATGTAGCAGCATCCTAGCACAACTGCTTATTAGAAGAGCAGCAAGCTGTGAATGTTTTTTGTTCTCTGAGGGTGCAATGTGGTCACAGCTGTCTGACTTGCGGCATCATGGGTGCAATGGTTGCAATCAGGACGTCGGGATGTGTGGTGAAGAAAGTGAGTGGTATATTTTTCCACGCTTCGACTTCAGCCATTGTTGCTTTTGTTGAGATTCATTTTTGATGAGAGGCAAGTCAGCATGAAGCATACATCAGCAGACATAGGGATATATGTGGGAATAATGAATTCAATAGTTCATGGCGATAGTTTTGAAAAGTGCGTGCCCACTGGTTTCCAAAAGTGTTCATGATATAATCACAATGCAAACATAATTTGCATTTGTTCTGCCTAAGGCATATTCCTGCGTAAAGGAATTATTTTTTTTGTTGTCTTAATCAGTTATAAACATTGTCACGGTCCATGGTTTTTATGATATTTTAGCTTCAGAATGAAAACATATATACCAACCTTTTGCTGATCTGTCTGATTGTGCAAGGGCATTGCTAGTTTTTCTGATATGCTTGCCATGTCATGGCACAATCTGGAGAGAAAAGATACTGCACGCAATTGCCAGAGAAGCGGCTCCATCATCTTGCTGTTTTGTTCCGAAATCTTACTGACATAAGTCGCAAAAGTATTAAAAGCCTCTTCTTGATGGTTTTTTTTGTGTATATGAAGGCCAATATTAACCTGGACTAAAATACCTCTGCACTCTTTCATCATTGCCATTTTTTGACCGGGAAACTTTCTGCAGAAGCTCATGGCGACTCGGTTTCTTCCATTAGAGAGATTTGAACCTCGCAGCTTCGCTATCAGCGGTTCCATCATCCTGGAACTCGCTACTATTGCACGTTCGCGATTCTTCGCAGACATTTGACCATATCTGTATAAAATCCAAGACTGAACTTGTTAACACAGCTTACGCTGCGTAAACAGTGCACACTTGCGATAACCTGAATCGTAAGAGTTGCGTATTTATAAATGTTCTTCGTAGAAAAAAACACCCTATTTTAAACAATAAATATGGCTTCCGTTCTTCCCTCTCGCCATCGTAAAATTCGTTGTGTTCTATGGGCAAAACAGAAGCGACTGTGTGTGGTTTGTCTGGGGGAATCCTGTTGACCTACGGCACAACTTGAGACATTTAGAGTTCTGGTTTGGTGCAGCTTCAGACAGTGCCAGGATAGGAAGGAGCCTCTGTGAATAGTTGCTGGCAAGTTGGGGGATAATCCAGTTTTAGAAGTCTGTTTGAACACTTATGCTGT